CTCCAAGAGGAGGAGATCCATGGCGAAGAAGATTCAAGAAACCCCAGAGAAAATTGCCAAATTGGAGATTGAATTGAAAGTTTTCGGTTGATGAGAGTGGGTGAGGAGAGGCGTGGGGGTTTTATAAGCAGATTCAATTTCATTGGTTGGAGAGACGGCGACGTCTGACGGCACGCGTTAGGTGGGACTTGTGGCGAAGTTTGAACAAGAGTTGCCCTCAGACGTTAAGTCTAACGGTGGCTACGTTCCACATTTTTCTATTTTATTTTATTATTATTTTTTTTTTCGAGAGACTGCTGAGGGGGGAAGATGATTAAGGTAGTAGGTGGGCGGGTTGGTGTGGGCAATGTGTCAAATAATGGGCCACATCTTGTACGGCAGCCCTAATAATTTTCTGTGTTTCGATATTCTGAGATCTCGCCACGTGTTCTACTCTTTTCAACCTCCCACTTCGAACGGTTTTGATTTACGGTTGTAAGGGGCAGATGTATGGTAACGCTCGCATTGGATTAGCACTGCTCCTTTTTCCCCAATTTGGCAATTTCTTATTTCAGTTTGTATAATTTATGAACCCAAAAAGAATTTATATCCTTTCCAACCAAAAAAAAATAAAGAAAATAAAGAAAATCAATCTAATGGCTACTTCCATTGTTTATTTGCAGAATTAGCAATATTTAAAAAAAGTCCATTGAACAAAATAATATATTACCTACGATAAATCAAGTTTTCTAGATTTTTTAATATTGTAAAGGTTTTTTTTATAATTTATTTAATCCTTTATGTGATATATACAAGGACATATGTGTGTGTGTTTGTAAATATATAAAAAAGAGGAATAATAAAGGACAATATGTCTCCTCTCACTTTTAGAAAAAGGATTTCTTTTTTCAAGTGTTTTTTCTATCTATTTGCATAAAATACTTATTATCTTCACAAAAAACTTGAAGATTTAATTTACCTCTTGTCCGTAATTTTATTAAGAGCTTTTAAGGGTCTGATTTAATTATTTTGTTAATTAAATTATAGCATAAAAATCCTTTTAGAAAGTCAAAATAAATATTAATGTGCATTAATATGCACTCTAGTATCGTGATTTAGTTGACTTCGTACAATATTTATGATTAAAATATATTTTTTACATTTTATTTTTATCTATACATATTCTACTCTCTTTTAGCTTAATGATGGTAAAACACTCATAATTTGTTGTAAACAATAGTGTTCACATCACACGATACTTTTTTATGTTTTGGACTAAAGTAGACATTTTAAAATTTTATAGACGGGAATCATTATTTTTTTAAGTTAAAATATCAAAAAATATATTTAAGATTACTTATATTACAAATTCATCTTTACGTGGTTTATGATTAATTTCAATTTGGTTAGACTTACCAATTGTTTCTCTATGTACAGTTTTTACTAACATGAGAATAGCTTAACGGTAATTAACACCCACTCATTCTCCTAAAGTCGGACTAATTCAAACTTTCGTATCTCTAATTATTGTACTAAAAAAATCAAAATGATCTATAATCTATAACACGAAAAAACTATATATTATTTCATTTGACTACTACTACTCAATCTGGTCAAAACTCACCTAACCTAATAGAAAATTATTATTTTTTATTAAATTAAGTAATATAATTCAAAACGGAACACGATATCTTTGGAGGCGCACAAATTCTACTTAATGTGAAAACAACTTCGTTCATCGCTATGCGCCTTTTGCTTTTTAAACAAGTTTTTGGTTTCGATCTTTATTTTCTCTTTAAATTATTATACCTCTCCTCCTATATATATATATATTTTTTCTGCAAATTATAAAGAGTTAGGTTCATATTGGCTCTCTCCTTCTATTCTCATACATGTATTAAGATTTCGTTTTTATATTTTAAAATATTTATTTTAACAAATATAGGAATAGATGATTGAACTTTTAAGGTAGGAGAAAAATGTTTTGAACAAATTTATTTTTTAAGGTATCTGTGACCATAGATTAAAATTTGTATTAAATGGTTCTAATAAAATTTAGTAATAGGGCAAATGAGTTCATGAAAATTTGGGAATTCAAATAAAATAAACAATAAACTGAAAAATTACATTTACATATACATACATATATATATTTTGAGGAGATAGAAAATCTTTTTTTTTAAGTACAATATGTAGGGGTGGGGATCAAACTCACAACCTCTTGGTCAGAGATTATGTCAATTACAGTTGAGCTATGCTCACTTTGACTAGAAAATCATATTTAAATACGCTAAAGATCACGACAACATATCTATATTAGTATGTACTAAAAGAAAAAATATATATCTCTATAGTATAAAACCAACCGTTAGACCATGTTTACTTCAAATTAATATGAATGAAGGAATGAGAATCAAGGTGGGACCCACACAATTTTTTCATGTACGATCATAAATTACATTATCATTTCTTATGCTGTATGTCCTACGTATTTATTGTAATTATTTTTCTACTTTTTCCATTTATCTCTTATGTGTTAATGAGATCCATGACCTTTTTATTTAATTGTTTTATATCTTTATTATTTTATACTAATAAATTTTCTTCTAATAAAAATTTATACCACTCTTGTGATTTTATTATAAATCTAAATTGGTTTAATTTTACTTTGTTGTTATTAGTCCATATCAATAGATTTTTTAAAAATAGAATTTATTATTATTAAATATCATAATAATAAAATTTAATATTAAATGATGATGGTTCTAATAAAGAGTACTCAGTTGATGTAATTTTATTTTAATTATTTATTATTTATTAATATTAAATAAATGATTATAATAATAAAAAATTAAAGTTTATTATCATTGTAATTGGAAAAAAAATAGCACAACGGTGTATTTGTAATTGGGAAGAAAGGGACATATTAGTAATTGTCATAAATTTGATCCCGATTTCGATTTCATACCGTTTTAGAAATTTTGATTTCAATTTTATAAAATATTTGGTAAACAGTATCCAACGAGTAATATTCTCATTCCGATTGATTTGATTTCAATTGATTTTCATTTCGATTCCTTGCAAGTAAACATGCTTCAGATCAAATCTGTCACAGAAATATTTTAAATATTACTGTAAAATTGAATTATTTCATACCAATATTACTATTTTTTAATCATGATGTTACTATTAATTTCAAATTTAGGATCTATTGGGAAAAAATGAGAACGCATCACCTAATATGAACGAAGAATAATATAAAAGTGCAACACTAAAAGTCTTTGCATTTGACAAAATGAAGATGGAATTTATAAATTTTGTATGATTTTTTATAATGTCTCGAGATATCTTAAATTATAGCTTTCGACTTATAAATTTTCAAAGTTTGAATCCTGGTCTAGTTTATTCTATATATATATATTAAAAAAAAATCCTACTTAACTCATAAACTTGCGTCATGATCCAGTTTGGTTTCTAAATTTCCAAATATTTTATTTTAATCAATCAATTATGCATAAAAAAAATTGTTTTAGTAATTATAATTATTTTTTAAAAAATCATTGAATCAAACTTAAGATAAACATGTGTTTTATATATTCTCCTTATTATTTGATGTTTGGATGTTTAAACTTATAAGTACTGGGTTAGGTTTCAATTTTTTTTTTCTTTCTTTTTGGATAACTATTGAAAGTCTAAAATTTTAACACAAATTTTCAATGCGAAAATACAATAACTAAAAATGAAGGGACTATAATTAAAAAATATTAAGAATAGTTAAATTAAAATTATAACTTTGATCATAAACTTTTAAGATTGTGTCAAATAAGTCTCTAAATATTAAAGAGTGTCTCATCAATTCTCCAATTTTTAATGTTGTGATTAATATATTATTGATTTTAAAATCGTCTACCAGGTTCCCCAATTTTTTAATTAGGTAGGTAGCACATTCATGACTTGGGAAACTTTTTAAAGTTCCTAGATCATAAAATTAATTGAAAGATCAAGAATTTTTTTTTTTTTAATTTTCTTCAAGCTAAGTACTTAGGATCTGTTTAGTCACGTCCACATTTTGTATTTCTCATTTTTTAGAAACATAAGTGTTTGGTAACTATTAATGTTTATCGTTTCTCATTTTCAAGAAATATTTCAAAAATTATGTATAAATTTTTAGAAACAACGAAATCAAGTTCTTTATTTATTGTTTTATTTCTAATTTGTTCAAAACATAAACAGAATATTATTTTATCATTTTGTACTTATAGAATGTATAATAAATATTTAAAAATAAATAGAACAAATCCGAAATATCAATATTACCAAATAAATCCTCATTAATCACAAATCTCAAAATTTAAAGATAAAACTTAATAATTTAATCATGATAAGTTGATTCATTCATCGAAAGGAGCAAAGTAAATCGAAACAATTTATAAAAAATAAGTTCAAAAAATAAGAAAATAATTAATTTATTACAATAAAATATAGTAGATTCGGATAAATATCTATTAGTGGAGGATGCATAAACAAAATGTACCAGCAGAATAAATAGAGATAGCTATAAGAGGCAAAAGGAAAAATATGGGAAAAGGTCAACGGTCGTGCTTTGACCGGCGGCCTGGTATCCAATCCAAGTAACCGGGAGAAGTCCGAAATGGGGGATTTATTTGACTTTTACTGCCGTAGAACACAAAATTGGAAATAAGTCTCCGATTTAATGGAATGGAATTAAAACTAAATTCCCTTTTTCAAATTACATTTTTTTGTGGACCCTTTTTCAAATTAATTGTGAGGATGGGGCTGCTTACGTGTCAACTCGCCGTCGCCCCTGTCACCAAATTAATTAGAAGAAAAAAAGTGATAAATTTCCATGTCGGACTTGGTCTTTAAAAATTGCAACTTGAGGCTTATAGTTTTTTGGGGCTAATTTTCAGTATATTCTTAATATTTTCAAAATTTGTAATTTCTATCTCGGATTAATTTCAACTTGTTCTCTATACTTTTACAAAATTTTAATTTAATCTTTGGTTTTTGTATCAATATCGTATTGGATGTATGGCATTTTTTTTATTTACGTGGCAATAATTTGACTAACTATTTGTTAGCTATATCTGCATTGAGGTTTAGATGGAGTAAAAGATAAAAGAAAATTAAATAAGTGAATTTTAGGTGGGTGAAAAATTGGTAAAAATTTAATCAAATTATAGAGACCAAATTGAAACTAAGCGTTATTTAATGACTAATTTTGTAATTTAATCAATCTTAAATATCTATTTCAGTACTTAAGCTTTAAAAGAAAATGATTTTAGTATAAAAAGTTTTAAAATGCATATTTGTCGAAACCATAAAAAAAGTAACAATATGTGATATCAATATTATTGTTATGCTATATAATATCCGCCCACTTAATATTTTTTTACCTATATATATAACTCCAATATATGCCTGCATATTAATATGTAAATATAAATATATATATATTTTTAATACTACATAGCAAATAATGATAGAGATTCGAACATACTATCTAGTATGAAGATTCTTTAACTACTTGAACTATCTCAAAATTGAAGGAAAAAAATTATTTGAGAGACTCAAATAATTTTAAATAATTTAATATATGTGGGAAAAATTAAAAATTATGATATTCCCATGTATCAATGTTAATTTTTTGGGTAAGAAAAACTTTGACCACTGACATCACTAATTTTAAATACAATAGAAAAAAAATTGTAATTGACAGAAAACTAATGAGGGTTGGAATTGGAAGTGCAATAAAAATATGAATATAGAAATAATTAGTGGGGGCAGGAAGGGAACGTTCAAAAGTGTAGTGCTCACCTACTCCGTTAAAAGTGACAGCATCGTCTCCCATCTCCGTTATCTCTTACTTTCCAATTACCGACTCCGTGAAGTCCACGTCACCCTTGTGACAATGGTATCGTCACCAACCAATCACAGACACAGCATAATATTAAAAAAGAAAAAAAAAGGTTATTTCACTTTACTTATATTTAATTAGTTTAATACTTCTTTAAAAAAAAATATATGGGTGAAAATTCGATCTTCGACCAACATCGAAAATATATATACCTTTAGCCAATCAAATTGGATCAAAGTTATTTTTTTTCCTTTCTCAATAGGAGTGAGAGATCGAACTCACAACTTTTTAGTTGGAAATATATGTCCATTATTGCTGAACTATACTTGTTTTGACAGATCAAAGTTAGTTTAATAATGGTAAATAATGTAAAATTTATTTGATAAAAATTATAATAGTTGAAGAATATTAATAGAATATCACTAGTGGTACTAAATTTTTCTACGTAACTTACCACTTTTCAATTGAAACATAATTGGAACCATGAATAATTACTATTTTTTATTTTTATTTTTTAAGTTAAAGGTTTGATTACTTATCTTTATTGAATTTTAAAAAACACATTTTTTTTATAACTTTAAGATAATAATTTTTTGGTTTGTCCACTATTATATTTCAATTTACTCTTAGTTGCTGTTATTTTTTTAGCTCAAATTTATTATTTTATTTGCGTGTATATCATGATGTAATATTAAGATTAAATATATAATTAATTCATCCATAATATTAAATCAAATTTTTAACGCCAAAGCGAACATAGCTAAACGGTAATTCTTCTTTTTTTACGGTTCATAGAATGGTTGGATTAATAAAAAAATACAGTGGTAGGTCTTTTCTCTTGTTATCTATTGGCTATAGCTTGTGCTTGGTCAAAAGAGAGAACGATAAACCTAAAAAAGTAGAGATTTTAATAACCTGTCCAACACGCGTGGGTTGGATTAAATTGATATAAATTTTATGTTTAAGAATCAAATACTCTTTAATCCAACATTAATTTGGAGCAAAAACAATCATAGGTAAGGAAAAAAGAGATTTTAACTTTTAAATAGCATCACTATATTTTTCATTGCACTGTAAAAAAAAAAAAAAGAAAGGCCTTTTATTAAATAATTGATAATAACTTAAGATCTCATACTCAAAAATTTTCATTTAAACTCTATTCCTATCTCTTAACCATTCATTTTATTTTTATGTATTTTTATTAGTCTTTATTTTATCTTTATACGTGAGAGTGGAAGTTCGAACACACGATATTTTGATAAAAAATATATGTCTTAACTAACTGATAATTAATTAGGTTCAAGTTAGCTCTAACCCTATATATATTTTTTTAAATTTCTAACCGTTAATGATTCCACATTGAAAAGAAAAGAGACCTAACAATATGGTTTATAATAGTCATGAACTACTCCTTTCATCGTCAATTGGTTTTGAGATGGAATCCATGAATATTAATACCGACTATATATTAACCCTATAACTAATCGATAACATAAGTAAACAACCATAAATAAATATGGACAAAAAGGAAAATATATATATATATTGTCCTTTACTGTTGGACAACCATCTTCTCATAATATTAATGGGAGTTGAGTGTGAGGATGTACATCACCTTTAGTGGACCCCTTATGAAAAAGAAGTGATTTTTATTACCCCAATTTGACCTCTAGAGATTCATAGGGAACCAATTGTTGTTGATAATGCTATTTTTTTTCCCCACTATAGCAAAAGTCCTATATATAAAATACAATAAATTAAATATATTTTACCATAAATCATATGTAGTTGAAATTTAGTGACATTATACATCTACATTATTTGTGCTGATTACTCAATTCCTTCATCCTAGGCTCACCAGGGTTTCACATTTCTTTTGAACTATCGGTAATTAAATTAATAGTAACTATTTATTTGCAAGTATGAGGCGTCGAACCTCTGATCTCAAAAAAAAAAATAAAAAAATATATATATATATAGTAAGTACCAATTATATACTCATGGTTCCTTATTTTTCTAATATAATTTAGTTTCGTAGTTTGAAAATATTCATCACACGGATCCTTTTCTAAAATTATTCTTTGGAATTCATTCATTAAACACAATAAAATTACTGAACTATATATTAAAGTAATTTGGGAGAAAATTCATGTTTGAAACTTGTCAATACAATGGAAGATTATGATATTCGCTGTATTGTTGTACTAAAAAAATAAAACATAATAATCTAAATCAACTCGTTAATAAAGTAGACACCTAAAAAAAATAAAAAAAGAAGAAGCCTATATAATCACACACTGTATATATATAATATATATGTTATATCGCCATCCTCGCCTCTTAATTTACGACACAATGGTCCAAAAGATGGAATGTCGTGACCACAAATCCAGATGTAAAAATCTAGTTGTCGAAATCGAAGAAATAAATCTTCCTAGGTATTTTCGAAGAAATTAATAAAATAAAACATCTGTTAATTATTCATCGTGCTTGTCGCAGCATATTCTCAAACCTAGACGTTGATTTAATGCCATCATCTAGCAGAGGGCAGAGGCAGAAGCTTCAACCAAAAAAAAAAAAAAAACAAATTAATTGGATTCAATTTCACGATGATGAAGAATAATCTCCGCCGTGGATCGTTGTTCCCAATCTGGGTTCTGATTTTGTTGGCGATTTCGAGTACTGTATTCTTCGATTGTGCCAATGCTGAAAGTATGGTTTATTTTCCTTCTCCTCTCTTGATTATATTCTGCCGAATAATAATATATATTTATGTTTATAATTTATATGACGAACTTTTTTTTTTTCGAAATTAATTAGACATGACGGATCCAAGATGGAATAATAATCTGAACCCGACGCAGCAGTGGAGGAGCGCCGTGGAATGCATGTGGAATAATGTAAATTTTTTTTAAAATTTTGTATTTTCAGATTACCAACCAAACGCATCATTTAATATTTTTTATTTTTATTTTGGTGGGCGTAGAAATCGACAGTGTGTACCGAACAACAACAATTATCACTGAACTTGACAATAGAAGTGTCGGACGAGGAGATGGGCGGGTACTGTGGAAACGGGTGTCTAGACCACACCATGGGCGTCCTCGACTGTATTCATGACGTCAAGCGGGACTTCTGGTTCGCTAACAACTTCGATACTTGGACGCTCCGCCGCTTCCTCACTGATAGTTGTGCCAATTTAACTGGTGATTATCCCTCAATTTCTTTTTAATTATGTTCTAAAATTTTTCGAATTTTAAAAGATATTTAAAATTTATAGACTCCTTAGACACAAAATTAAATGGTCAAGGTCTTATATATTAGAGGCACAAAATTCAAACTCGTTGCCTAGTGAATTCTTGAATTTTGAAAACTTTTCGAGTAAGCTGAGGTTGTATTAGACACAAAATTGAAAGTTTAAAGATCTAATAAATATATCATTGAAAGTTTAGACACAGTTGTGAAAACTCTACTTAATTAGTTAAGGATTCGAGATTATGAATTTGGGATTAGCTAGTATGAATTCATACTTACATATTAAATTTACCGATTAGTGTTGAAGTTTTGACCTGTTAGTCGAAAATATATATTTTAACCAATTGAGTTATATTCTGGTTGACATAAATATACATGGTTAAAATAATAAAACTACACTAGCTTAGCTTTTGAAATCTAGCTCTTGGATCACTGAAAGAACCTTGAAGATTTTAAAGGCTATCAAACCAGACATAATTGAGAAAGTTATTGAAAGTTTAAATATAGTCGGGAAGGCTCTATTTGAGTTAGGGATTCAAAATTTATGAATTTGAGATTAGCTAGCGTGGATTATTCAAACTTACATACTAAATTTACAGGTTTGTGTCTGGGAGTTATGAATGGTTGGTAAAAAAATATATGTTTTAACTGGTTGAGCTATATTTAAGTCTAATTATATCTGCTAACCTTTTTGAAATCCAACTCTTGGACCACGCAAGAACCTTATAGATATTAAAGACAATCCAACCAAACATATAAACTAGATGAATATGGATAATTAAGAGGGTAATTTGGTTCAAGATTTTATTTAGATTCATTAAACTCGAGTTTGTTGTAATTAAATCTAAATTTTGTGTAACTATCTAAATTTTGCAGTGAATATTAGTTTTTTTTCCCTTTATCAAAAAGAAGGAATATCAAATATAGTTAGTTTTAACTAGATTTGTCTAACAAATATATGGACGGGTGCATTTCTGAATTTATAAAAATCAATTAAAAAATATAGCTTTAATTTATACGTTTGAAAACTGAAAAAGAAAAAAAAATAATAATTTTGAAACTATATAGTTTTTGTTGTTTCTATGCCCCTTGTGATTTATGTACATGGTTGGAAACATTTAAAAAATAAGTAGTAATAGTTATCCCACATAAATTTTCCAAAAATTAAAAATAAAATACATGAATTCTATAAAATATAGGGGTTAAAATTTGTGAACCAAGCCCCTCAAAAAATATTTTTTCTTTTTTTATTTTTCGAAATTAATATCGTGTGACTTACCTCATGGATCCCTATAACTGGAGGCTATGTAACACAAGGTTCAAGGTTCTTGTCAGTACGCCATCTCCAGATAGTTTTTTTTCTTTTTCTTTTTCTTCGGGATATGCCTCTTTAATGTTTATGCAAAATAAACCTAAAACATGTGTAGGTTTTTCATACAAGGACATACCCAGCGCCAACGACGCAATTCAAGTCTCACAGAAGATGGTTTTGTCGATCGTTATTCCTCTTCTTGCCTCATTTTACATTACCCATCTTCCAAATCTAATGTAAACCACTCATATCCAAACTTATGGCAGAGGGAGGTGAAACCATATATTATGTCCAGTATTACTAATAATGTCTTGTTTAAGAATGAATATTGTGTCACATTTAATTTCCAAACTTATATAGTTTATTGCCCAAAATCATATTGTCCTTTACTTCCCTCCTATAAAAAAAAAGAAGAAGAAGAAGGAAATATGAATTGTGTTCATTTTGTGTGTATATATAAGATGTTTTTTAAGTATAGGACGTGAGAGTTTGGATTTGAACTCACAACCTTGTGGTCGTTGATAAATAGTTTCTTAGCCTATTGAGCTATGCTCAAATTGGACATCTATATATGAAGTTTTATATACACAAATATATAAGTTGATATTGCTTTATGCAAATCAGGAAATAATGATATGATTTCATTCCTTGAACTAATACAAATAGTTGTCGTTGCTCTCCATAGGAAGAAATTTTCGACTTCTATTTTCGTTTCTATATAAGCTAAAATAGTTTATGGGTTTTTAAAACTGTGCCTACTAAGTTTTTTAAGTTGAAAAAGTATCTAATATCTCACTTTTAATATTATGTTAAACATATATTTTTCATAGATTCGTAGACTTTAAATTATGTGCCTCTAATCTTTTTAAAATTTAATATTTTACCCAACAAGTGAATAATCTATTATATATAAAATTAAATAGTTGAATTATACTTCACCAAAAAATATCTAATTTATGGTTGAAACTTATAATTCAACCCTACTAAAAAAAATGACCGATGGAGAGAGGAATGCTTGTCAAACACTGAAATTGGGAAGTAATTGTTAACAAACACTTGGAAAATGATGAACATGTGTGATCCAACGTTTTTCTTTCTTTTCTTCTTCTTATCAAGAACAAGCAAGAATACGTGACTATGATGAGAGGAAAAATAATAATCGTTATGAAACAATTACTCATCCAACTCAACAAACATGATGAAACTAGGACCTGCTAGATATGCAATTAAATATTATATTTTTTCTGTTCAGATTCACTAAATCTACTAGACTAGGATCAACCCAAAAGACAGATCTTATCGGCACTTGTTTTCCCTTTTCTATCCAGATTTAGAAGTAGGGCGAGCGATCCCATAAAGTGATTGCAAACATCTTCTAAATGGAAGGGAATTCGGCCTACCTTAATCGAATGGCCAAACTAAGAAGAATAGAATCATCACCTGAAACAGAGTTCATGGGCAAATCTAAGTTTGGAAACTAATCTTTGCTTTCCGAAAAAGTCAATGAATACTGACTCTCGTGAAACTTATTAGACATAAAATTAAAAAATTTAGAGGTCTTAAAGGGTCAAATTTTAGTAACTTATTGAAAACTTTTTAAAATACATAGATTAAATATATACGGATTTACAAACAAGGGTTTAAGTGTCGATGTTGATGAAAATGTCGAGGTTTTCAATTTCATGGAAATATCAAAAAAATGTCGGGTCAATAAATTTTTTTGGAAAAGTTACAAAAATAAAAATTTCGTAAAAACTATTTAACTTAACAAATAAACATTTCGGCATTTAATTTCTAAATAAGTTTAAAACAATTAATATTAATATTATGTCTATAATAGTGAGATTTTGTTCATATTTTTTCGATTTTTTTACAATATTACAGAAATGTCGATTTATCCCTATGTTGCTGTCAAACCCATGAATTCATGAAAACGTCGACATATCGACGGATATTATATCCAACTTATAATTTAAGCCAAAAAAATTATTAATTTGACAGAACTGAACCGACGTGTTTGGGCCGCTTCAATTTACCTCTAAATGGCCCAAATAGAAAAATGAACAACAATATTAACAAATGGGCCTTATCTGGCTGGGCTCATGTATCCAAACTGGGCCTCTTAATCTCGACCGACTCAAAAAGGCAAAGTTCCAAGGAAACGACACCGTTTTCGGTCACATTCTTGGAGCGCTTTGTTATAAATAAGTTTCCGCGACTGCGAATTTCTTGCGCCTTACTCTAATTTTCTCATCGTCCTGTCTTTTGCTTTCTGCTGGGAGAAGGAAGAATCTCGGAAAGCCAAAAAATGGCGGCCTCGGCTATGGTTCTGGACCCGAAACCCTCATTGGAACCACCGGCATCGTTCCCATCGATGAGATCTGACCTCCAAGGCTTCGCGGAGCAGTCGTCCGACGAGGATGACCTCTACAGCCGTCTGAAATCGCTGCAGCGGCAGTTGGAGTTCATCGACATTCAAGAAGAATACGTGAAGGATGAACAGAAGAACTTGAAGCGTGAGCTTCTACGAGCGCAAGAAGAGGTGAAGAGGATACAGTCGGTGCCTTTGGTAATTGGCCAATTCATGGAAATGGTCGATCAGAATAATGGGATTGTTGGATCCACCACCGGTTCTAATTATTATGTTAGGATTCTCAGCACTATTAATCGCGAGCTTCTTAAACCCTCGGCCTCCGTCGCTTTGCACCGTCACTCTAATGCGTTAGTCGACGTCTTGCCTCCCGAGGCCGACTCTAGTATATCTCTTCTCAGCCAGTCGGAGAAGCCCGACGTGACCTATAACGTGAGTTGTATATAATTTTATTTTCGTAAATTGTTCGAATTCGCTTAATGACGTTGCTTTCGTCGCTCTTTTATATCTCCTTTATTAAATAGAATTAGGGTTTGAGTTTAATTCAGTCTTGTTGTTTTGGGTTGGAATCTTTAATTTATGATATCGTCTTGTTCGAAATCGCCAATTAAAATAGGGTTAGATTGTTCTTCAAAGCAATTGGTGATCATTCGACGGGAAAATTCTATGAAATCTGATGACACTTATCGATTTGTTCGTTCTAACTGAAAGTTTGCCTTTCCCGATGACACTAATGTCATTCTTCATGATGGTGGGAGTTCTAAAGGTTTTGAAGGAATCGTTTAGTACTGTTTCCCTTGGGTTTAAATGTGTGGATTTTAAACCGAACCATTAGTTGAACATTTTCTCATGTTAATGTGATTTGAGGCTTCTCCGTATTTTTACTCTCAAAAAAGGAAAAAAAAAAGCTTTGAGGTAGTTTTTAATTTCTTGATTGAACACATTTTCCGGAACAGGGTTAGGTAGCTTAGATTTTCTGTCCAGGTTCACCTTATTTACTCCTCATTTTTTTCTTCATAAGTTTGAAGTTGCCGACTTTGATGTAGCTGATTAGACTATGTTTCTTCTGACTTGATATTAATAGTTTCATTCATAGTGTGTTCCCCGCTTAAGAATATGAGGAACATTTACTAAGATGAAGAAAATCAGGAAAATTATTTACTGATTTCTTTTCAATTACTTTTAGGATATTGGCGGATGCGATATCCAAAAGCAAGAGATTCGTGAAGCCGTGGAGCTACCTCTTACTCAC